TTGGACCTGAGTGAGTTACTGAATTTTCTTTAGCCTGAAATATGTGTGTGTTTTATTACTTTTTTTTATGTGTGTGTGTTTTAAACATGTCAGTACTTATGTACTGCTTCATTTTTCTGAACCATTAATCCAATGTGTTGATGTTAAAATGAGTGCTTCATATCTTCTCCATTTTGTGTAATTTTGATACTATATTCTTCATTTAAGTCTAAATGAATCATGATTGTTATTTCTCTTCCCCTCCCCCCACTCCATTCTTTTTAGCAAATGACAGTCACATGCAGTACTCTTAACCATTCCTGGAACAGTTAAGGTATTAGGTTAAGTCTTACAAACTGAAATTTAGTTTGTATTTTGCTTCTGACTTGTCTCAGTAACTATGTGCAATTACTGATTTCTGTATCATAATAACCAAAGAAGTGGCATTGCTGGATGGAAATTGGGAATTTAGGCAATTGTCTAGTTGATTTATGTCTAAAGAAATAATTTTGTCTTACAAGTTCTGATGAGAGAGGCTCTTTGTTTGACTTAGCAAGATAATTACCTGTCTTTACCAGTGTACAATAACTAGCCTTAGTTTCCTTATCTTTTAAATGGGAAATGATAAAACAGTAATATTTAGAGAAATATGTGAGATTTATTTAGTTCACTTTTAATAGACTAAAATCATCATGTGAAAAGTATGCTGTAAGTGTGAATTATTGATACTTTTTCATTTTTCCTCACCCTAAGAGACAGTGCCTGAAATAGCTACCTTCCTTACCCCACATGTCAAGACTGAGAAACTTAATACATACCATGATCACAACTTTTGAGAAAGAATTGAATTGCTGTCGTTAAAAGCAGCGGGACATCTTGCAACTGTTTAAATAGCAATTCTTAATATAATCTTTTCTGTCGAGAAATATAACCATTCTTAGGTGTGGCACAAAATACGTTTTAATATACTGACTCACTGCTTAGAGTTGTCAAGTTTATCAATAAATTGGTTTTTATACTGAATAATTAGATCTGGAATTATAGACATCCAGAGGGGTTCAAGTTCCATTATAGAATCATTTAATAGAAAATTATGAATATTGATTTTTTTTTAAAGTAGGCTCCGCGCCCAGCTTGGACCCCAATGTAGAGCCAAACTCATGACTGTGAGATCGAGACGTGAGCTGAGATCAGGAGTCTGATGCTTAACCTACTGAGCTGCCTCTGATTTATCAATTTTTTAAACCAAAAGGGACAGTGTAAGCATGGAGCAAGATGAGTTATTTGAAAATCCCAAAGAAATTCTTTTAAAAAGCTTTCTTTGACAGTTTAAGCTTGCTCTTTTGAATGGCTATTTTTTTGGTCCTCTTGGTTTAAAAACAATTAATTCATAGATGTCGTTCATGTTTCTAGTAACTAATTAAGCACTACAGAGACATTTTTAATGGAAAGCAACATTTTTCTGTCCACATACCTTCCCTATCCCAGTTTTATTCCCTTGAAGCAAACTCTTTTACCCATCTCTGATTTTAGTCCTTCTGTTGGTGTTTCTGCATAACTCTAAATTATATACAGTACTTACATCTATTTGTTGAATTGTTTTTGTTTTTGAAGATTTTATTTATTTGACAGAGAGAGCGAGCGAGAGCAGGAACACAAGCAGGGGGAGTGGGAGAGGGAGAAGCAGGCTTCCCGCGGAGCAGGGAGCCCGATGCGGGGCTCGATCCCAGGACCCTGGAATCATGACCTGAGCTGAAGGCAGACACTTAACGACTGAGCCACCCAGGCACCCTATTTTTGTTGAATTGTTAAATAATATCTTTTGACTCTCTGCTATGAAATTTGAGGATGTAGCTTGTTTACCTACTCTTCCTTCTGTTTCCCTCCTCCCAGTTAATGATAGTTACATTAAAAAAAGAGTAGTGGTTGTCTTTCATAACTAAATAATATATTTAAGCCACTATTTCTTATTCTTTCAATTTTTTTCTTTCTTCTTCTTTTCAAAGATTTTATTTATTTGACAGAGAGACACAGCCAGAGAGGGAACACAAGCAGGGGGAGTGGGAGAGGGAGAAGCAGGCTTCCCGCCGAGCAGGTAGCCTGATGCAGGGCTCGATCCCAGGGCCCTGGGATCATGACCTGAGCTGAAGGCAGATGCTTAACGACTGAGCCACCCAGGCGTCCCCTTATTCTTTCAATTTTCAACAGTATTTCTTGGTTCCCTACTTTGTAAAATGGGGATGTTAATACCTTCATTCTGCCTCCATCTTCTCAAACTGGTTTCAGTTAGGTACACTTAATTTTACACCTTGAAGGTTAGTAATATTTACATTGCATAGCACAACTACAATGCATCTTCTTTGTGTTGTCAGTAAGTAAACGACCAATAAATTGCCAGTGCATTTACTATAACTAAATATTCAGTGCCAGATCAAACAGAATTTTAGGATTAGATTTCCTACAAGTCTTGATCTCTAGGATACCCAACGAGTCATAACATTAGGCCAAATAGATCAAATCTCTCTTTTTTTCCCCTTAACATTTGCTACTTGATTTAAAAAGTTTTACATTTTAGTTTCTTTCATATTTGGTCTATGGTTTTCTTACACAGGTGTTTTTCTTCTGGGATTTCTGGTTGTCTTTTTCTCCCCACCACCCTTTAATAATGTGTCTTTATTGTATTCTTAAGCACTCTGCAGTCCCCTCTTGTCTGTCTCAACCTGTTTAATTTACACCTGTCTGCTTTGTCTTCCAGAAGTACGCTGAAATTCTTATTTACTTCTCTTTGCTGTTTATTCCCTTTTGCACTTTCAGTATTTTGCCTCCCTGCTCCTTCCTGCCTGCCCCAAGTAGGATCTTGAAGGAGGGGGAGGTGAATGTGTGTGTGCTCAGTTTGCTATCATTAATCTGACTTACTCGGTTAGTTTTGAAGTACCTGTTTTAGACTTCTGTATGAAATTCATAAAGGGTGTTTACCAGTATCAGATCTTTGAGATTTCCCATTTAATTATGGGCTGTATATACTTTTTAAAAAAGATCTATTTATTTGAGAGAGAGAGAGACCATATACCTTACCCCGTGTGCGGTTGGGGGGAGGGGCAGCAGGAAAGAATCTTGAAGCAGACTCCCCACCGAGCATGGAGCCCTACACAGGCTTGATCCCAAGACCCATGAGATCATGACCTGAGCCGAAACCAAGAGTCTGACATTTAACTGACTGAGCTACCCAGTCGGCCCTGGGCTGTATATACTTTATGTGCATGTGAACACATCACAGAGTCCGTATTAGAAGGAATCATATTTTAAAGATAAAACAAATCCTAGTTAACCTCTTCATTTTATAGGATGGGGAATAAACCTCTTCATTTTATAGGAAGAAAATTGAGGCTGAGGGAGAGGATGCAGATGTGAGCAGTCTTTATCAAGAACTCTCAATTAATGGTATAGCAGAATTAAAATAAAAGTTTTTTTGGTTTTGAACTTATTAGTCTTGCTCAGCTTCGTAATGCGTCCCCAACCTTGAATCACATGGCTTAGAAAAGTGAAAATTATGTTAGTAGAATTCAGTTCCTTTAGGAAATTGAAGCCAATCCTCTTGGAGGAGTCATGTCTATTTCTGTATTTTTGTTCGTTGTATTGAAAAAGATGTGGAATGAAATTGTTTGAGTAAATGTTTTTGTTCAGGTTCTTATTTTTTAAGGTACTTTATTTTTTTATTTTTTTATTTTTAAAGATTTTATTTATTTATTTGACAGAGAGAGACACAGTGAGAGAGGGAACACAAGCAGGGGGAGTGGGAGAGGGAGAAGCAGGCTTCCCGCAGAGGAGAGAGTCTGATATGGGACTCGATCCCAGGACCCTGGGACCATGACCTGAGCCGAAGGCAGTTGCTTAACAACTGAGCCACCCAGGCGCCCTTTTTAAGGTACTTTAGTCACCTGTCATCCATTTACCATCACAATAATTACCAGATAGCAGGTGTCCAGTTAGCAAATCTTCATATTTAAAAAGCAAAGGAGAAGTGGTTTTGAGGATTTTTTTTGTATTTGCTTTAACAAATCCTGTGTTTAATAATGCATGAATGATAGTTAAGAGATTGCTTAGTCTCATAAAACAATGTAGCCTTTGTATATGTATATAAGGGGTTGGGTGCAGTTAAAAGTCAAAGTAAAAAAATAAAAAAATAACACGAGGACAAAAGGAGATTTTTAAAAAAGTTCTTTTTGCAATGCAATGACATTAAGATGATTATCCACATATTATTAGGATAGTTCTTGCAAAAGGAATAGTGTCAGATTGGAAAGTCTCAATCTGCTCCAACCTAGAGGCTTCAGGGAGGAATACCATGTATATTTGGGTAGCAGTTTCAGGTGTTGGAATGAGATCCTGATAATTCTTTCTTCACCAGTTGATTGGATTACTCAGAATGCTTGGATTCAACTTAATAATCATCTTTCTGTCTTATGTGGAGGTGTTCTAGTGCAAATCAGAAGTTGGAATGATCCATAAATAATGTGACAAAGGTATCTAATTTACACTAGAAATTTTGGTTATTATCAGTGGTTCAGAGAAGTGTTTTTTAAAAGATTTATTTATTTGAGAGAGAGAGAGAACGTGGGCAAGCAGTGCGGAGGGGCAGAGGGAGAGAGAGAGAAGCAGACTCCCTGCTGAGCACAGAGCTGGGCATGGGGCTTGAGCTCACAACCCTGAGATCATGACTTGAGCCAAGAGTTCGAATGTTAACCGACTGAGCCACCCAGGTGTCCTGGTTAGATGAAGTTTTTAATGTTATTTCTACAGGCTGCATGTACTGATAATGGGCAATCTTTTTACCCTTTGTAGGTGCATTGCCAAAATCAAGGCAGAAGTAATGGCTTGGTTATTATTATATATGATGATTTATTTGGTATTACTATTTCAAAAAAAATACAAATGGGAAATACTTGTGTAAAAGTATAACATTTTAGTGAACTACTAAGACAGTGAAGACATTTTAACATAACTTTGTCTTTATTTTAAAGAATTCAAAAGGAACTTGCAGAGATTACGTTGGACCCTCCTCCCAACTGTAGGTAAGTACTTACGGATTTTTATTTATTTGTATCTTTTGCGCAAGGTATAATTGAACCATTGGTCTGATGTACAACTGTTGTAATTTGATTAGTAAAATATATTGTAGTTTGAATTTAAATGACTGTGGAGGACGGCTATTGTTTCTGTGCAGAAATGGAATACTTATCAAGTCTGTTTGTAGAGGTATAGTGGGGTTGCCAAACAGAGTAATGCAATAACAGTAAGATAATGAAATTATAGAGTAACAAATACAATTATTTTTCAGTGGAATAGGTGTTGGGGCCTTAAATGATTTCTTTAATGGTAGAATAATAGTGTGGCTAAAATATTTGCTATTTGATAATTCACTTGTTACCTTGTTGGAAATTGATTTTTAAAAGTACTGGAACAGTGAACTGTTTTTTCATGGTTTACATTATTTCTCGGCTATAAGTAAGAATGGGTGATTTGAGGCAATGATGTTAAATTTAAAACTCTCTCCTTTATGACCGCATTCTTCAATTTTCTGGTCAGAGGTTATTTATAAGAAGTAATAGTGCTTGCCTGGAAATGATTAATGATATACAGGTAGATAGAGGAAGAAGAGAAAAATGACCTCCTGCCTTATACTAGATCTTGGGTCTGATGCAATAGTTGGAAGATTGGCTGTTGGTCTCATATAAAACATTTCTTTCTGTTTTGATATGAGGTCAGTGTTGGAACCAGGCCATCATGGCGTTTCCATAGTTTAAATTGGTAGTCTTGTGGATTGAAGGTGAGAGGGCAGATTACAGGAATATGTTGCTAATATTGAATGAAGGTAGAATTTATTGTTTGGTATGATTTCTGATTTTACTGATCTTATTTTTATGTGAAAGCAAAGATAGCAACTCTACATATTAATGAAAGTGAGAATTTTGCACATGGCTATTTGATACTTGGCTAGTTGGAAACTTGTGTAGGAAAAGTTCTAATAAGGCTTTTTATGTTTGTGGTAAATCTAATGTTCTTTACATGAGAGTCATCTACAGTATATACCCTTGCAATAATAATCAAAGAATGTTTTATTCAAATAGAACAAATATTTCTTTGTTAAGTAAAACTGTTTAACAGAAAGACTTTTTATCACACTTAAGACTGTTACATCAAAGACATTTTCAGATGGCAAATCATTGGTCGCTTTGGTCACCAATTCTTGGAAATGAATTGATTGTGGAAAAACTCCAGTTTGAATGAAACCTAAAATCTCTTGTTTCTTGTGACAGTATTCATTTTAATGGTTTGAATCTTTTTTTAAAAAGTAGTTTAACCACATATATTATTTTTGTAATCTTTTTACAACTAAATTGGTAAATATATGAACTTAGTTTATATACTTATTTGCTTAAATTTTGACAACAAATTACTGGCAAAATAAACTACTTTGTTTTAATGAGCTTGTTTAAGGCTCATTTTTAATAAATGAAATCCACGTACAATATTATGTGATGGTTAGACTGCAACTTCGTTATAAGATGTATTATTTTCTAATACATTAGTTTAATTTAGTTTTAACTTATTACGGATAATAATTTAGCTTGATTAAACCAGGGTATTATAAACATGCATGAAAACAAGTGTGAGGAAAGGAATTACATAATGGCAATTATTTAAATAAACTAAAATAATTAAACCAATTCTATTTAAAGTTAAAAAGAAAAGTTTATAATGTCTGAAATTTGGAGTTTTACTTTTTCATTAAGCCACAGTTAATGGTATCATTACTGGTCATGTAAACTCTTTATAAATGAAGCGCTTTTAAAACGTGGATGTGACACATAATAAGCCCTTTGGTAAGTTTTAGCAAAGATACCTACTTTGTTGTTTTTTTCCCCAGTTTTTTTGAGATATAATTGATATATAACATTGTAGAAAGATATCTACTTTGGTTAATTTGCCTGCTTGTGGGAATTTGCAAGGAAATTCATTTAATGATATGAAGATTGGATAGTTAACAAGTTTGCTTTAGAAGCCAGGTTTGTGATTCAGTGGCTTTGGCTCCTTTTCTTGATCCCAGAATAGTTGATTGAACCGGATGAGGCAGAGATAAAGATTATATCCACCTTCATGTATGTGGTGCTCCCCTTTGGCAAGCAAAGGATCCTCTATGTTGTGGCTGATTGGGAAGTGGTGATTAGTTCTACAAGTCCTATGTACTTGCGCTACTTAATATAGATGTCAGTGTGATTGTTAAGTGGATTACTGTGGCCTTTGGATTGTTTGGTGTCAAATATTTGATTGTGGTTTATAGTAAATCTGCCCATCTTTATTTCAGTGGGAATGCGGTTACTATCTTCAGGAAGAGAAGTTAGAGCGTAATTTTTGTTTGACTTATTTTTGGCACAAAGTTAATAGTGCTTTTGTGGTTGATTTTTAAAAGTTCTGTGCTGCCTTCATCTGTGTCCTAATGACTTAATTTATAGAAATTAATGAGTTAATTTATAGAAATATACTAAATTAAAGTTATCTGCCTAGTAGAGGGAGTCAAAATCACATTCCCCTAGTACTCTCTTTGTTATTACCTTTACCAGCACACAGCCCTCTCTAAATCCTGCCTTTTGGTTGCCTGGGTAGTTGTTAGCTCACTATCACAGATAAGATTATGTATGAGGGAACATCTATGGGTTTACCTGTTTAGACAGATTGGAACAGGTATTTTATCTGTTATTGTCTCATTGGGGATGGTTGTGTGTCACATTCCACTTAGAGTGTGGTTTACTCTTACTTTCTGGAAACTTAACAGACTAGTACAGGCCAGTTGTGTGTATTTGTCAGGTTAGAGATGGCATCTCTGAATTTTGGTGCATCTCTTATGTGATGCCCGGTTAAGCAATTCTTGGAATTATATGGGAGGAACTAGTATGTGTGTAAGTATTCTGTGAGTCTGTCATTTAGACATGGTGAGACTATAAAGTCTTTCTGGATTATATCATTCAGTGTAGATGGATATGTTTATGTAAGGGATTTTTAGGGGGACTGCTGTGGTATTAATTTTTTCTTACAGGTTTTGAATGAATCTAAATTTTTTTTTCTTGAATCTAAATATTTTTAAAGCATCCAAAAAAAACTTTGATAATAGGTTGAATTATTTCTTCTTATGGGAAACATGCGTATATATCTTTCAATTTTCACTTTTTCTGTTGTCTTTAAGGTAAAAATGCAATAATACAGTTTTTTAAAAACTGGATTCAGTTATCTTTGGGTTTTTTCCAATTAAAGCCTGAGTTAATGTTTAAAAACAAAACTTTATGATACACCTAAGAAAAAAGTTTCTGTTCGTAAAATCATAGGGTCTGTAGGGCCATTGGCATAGAAAATTATATATAGTTTGGGTGAAATTGGTTGTATATTTAGAATATTTCCTGTAAGTAGTAGAATATATTTTGCTTGGTTTCAACTCTTATGGTGGATAACATAATTGACCCATGACATTTGCAAAGGCTCTCTTCTGATCAGTAAATGTTTTCGTATTGCCAGCTGAGTTGGAGTTACTGGTCTAGAATTGCTTACTATTTCAGTTCCTTGCACACCAGCTTAGCTGGATGGAGCCAGGAAAATTCATGTTACATCCTTACAGAGCCCTAATAGGTAAAATTGCTGCCGCTTGTAAATGACTGTATGTCGTGACTATCACGATTCTTCACAAATTGTCAAAAGCACAGACCTTGAATCTGTAAATGTGCTGATATGTTCATTTCCCTTTCCTTGATGCTAGTGGGAAACTGGGAGTTAGCTAGAAAAATCTCCAAATTAAAATTAAAACTTTTGTCATCCAAAGGGTAACTTGTTCTTTTATATTGTAGGGAAACTAAATGCAAATTGTGTCATGATCTGTGTCCAAGTTTGTATTAACTGCATGAGAATGGAAATGACAGAGATCCTTACTCCTTTTTGGAAGTAGAGACTATGATAAAATGACTCATTTGGCTTTTGATTTTTGATTTAGTAATTGAGAAGTGTAAGGAGGAAATACTAAAAAAAGAGGATGTAGTTCAGTTATAAGAGCAGTTTTCACTTTTTATTGCTATGTTTCAATGATCTACTCATTGAACACAGACTCTGCTTTACTTTAAAAAAAAAAAACTAATTGGCTTTATTGAGATGTAATTTAAAGCGTAAAATTCAGTGGCTTTTACTATATTCATGGAGTTGTGTAACTATATTCACAGAGTTGTCTAACCATCACAGTCAATTTTACAACATTTTGATCACCCCAAAAAGATACATCAAACCTTTTAACAGTCACTCCTTCCCCATTTCCTCCCAGCACTCTCAACTTCAAGCCCTAGGTATCCGTTTGTTCTGTCTCTTATAGATTTGCCTGTTCTGGACATTTTGTATTAGTGGAATCATATAAAATGTAGTCTTTTATGACTAGCTTCTTTCATGAAGCATAATGTTTTCAAGGTTCATCCATGTTGTAGTGTGCATCAGTACTTTTATCTTTTTGTCTCTGAATAATATTCCATTGTGTGGATATACTATATTTTATTTATCCATTCATCAGTTGATGCACATTTGGATTGTTTCCACTTTTTGGCTGTTATGAATAATGCTGCTGTGAACATTCGTGTACAAGATTTTGTGTGGACATATGTTTTCATTTTGGGGGATTTATACGAATTGTTGAGTCATAGAGTAACTATGTTTAACGTTTTGAGGAACTGCCAGACTTATTACAAAGTGGCTGTACCATTTTACCTTCCTACCAGCAGTGTTTGAGAATTCCAGTTTCTCCACAACCTTGGCAGTTGTTCTTGTCTGTCTTTTTGACGATAACCATCTTAGTAGGTATGGAGTGATATGTCATTGTAGTTTTGATTTGCATTATCTTGATGAATATACTGATGATGTTGACCATCTTTTCATATGCTTTTTGGCCACTTTTATATCTTCTTTGGAGAAACGTCTACTCAAATCTTTTGTCCATTTTTAAATTGAGTTATTTGTCTTTATTGCTGAGTTGTAAGTGTTCTTTATT